TTTCTTTTTCTTCTAATCCTCACCTAAGAATATTTTTTCCACTGCTTTTCAGAAAGAGAGAGGGGAGAGGGAGGGAAGGGGAAAGAGAGAGACAGAGACATACACACAGGTTGCCTCTTGCACACACTCCTACTGGAGGCAGGGATTGAACCTGCAATCTAGGTACTTGCCCTTGACCAGGAATTGAACCCAAGACCCTTCAATGTGCAGTCCGACACTCTAACCACCGAGTACACCAGCTAGAGCTTCTTTCTTTCTTACTATTTATTTTGGGCGGGGGGAGGGAGAGAGAGAGAAACATCAATTTGCTATTTCACCCACCTATGCATTCATTGGTTGATTCTTGTCTGTGCTCTGACTAGGGACTGAACCCGGAATATTAGAGTATCAGGACAACACTATAACCAACTGAGCTACCTGGCCAGGGCTATAATGACTTTCATACCATAATTTTGCTTTCTCCAATATAAACAAGTATCCCTATTTTTACATTAGCTTAAGAAGTTTGCAGCTAAGTGTGTTATTGAAATGCCACCTGCTAAAGGTTACTACTCAACTCAGTTTATGAGAGAAACCTATGAAGTTATCAAATAAGACCTTTGTACAGGAAAAACTGACCATCTGACTACTGATTTCAACTTAGGATTTAAATCAATTACTCTTTTCTTCTCAGAAGCTTGCTTTACTTCAAGTCTTGCAACTCATTTTCTCCAAGAAGGCTAGGAGGATTACTCAAATCAGTCCACTTCAGTTGTTTGTCTATTTTCTTAACGGCTTTAAAACCTGAATGGGTCCCAAAGTTTTTTCATTAATAGGCATCACTACCTCCTCTGTTTCCTAAACCAATGGTTCTCAAACTAGATTCAGAGTCAGAATTCCCTGAAAGATTGTTAAATGCAGAGATGACTATGCCCTATCCCTAGAGTTTGATTCAATATCTCTGGGATGGGACTTGAGATTTTATATTTCTAACAAGTTACCAGATGATCCTAAATGCTAGGTCAAAGACCACACTGTGAGAACCACTGTCTAAACCAGTTTTGTTTTGTTTTTGTTTTTTTTTAAATTATCTTTATTGATTTCAGAGAAAGGAAAGGAGAGGGAGAGAGAGAGAGAAACATCAATGGGAGAGTCATTGATCGGCTGCAGCCCACAACCCGGGCATGTGCCCTGACAGGGAATGGAACCCCGATTGCCTGGATCCTAGGTCGACGCTCAACGGCTGAGCCACGCCCGGCCGGGACAGTTTTTTGTTTTTTTTAAAAATATATTTTCATTGACTTCAGCGAGAGGGAGGGAGAGGGGGAGAGAGAGAGAGAGAGAGAGACACATCAATGATGAGAGAGAGTCACTGATCAGCTGTGTCCTGCACACCCCCTGCTGGGGATGGAGCCCGCAACCTGGGCACGTGCCCTGACCAGGAATTGAACCTCGATCTCCTGGAACATAGGTCGATGCTCAACCTCTGAGCCATGCCAGCCAGGCTAAACCACTTTTAATCCATGACTCTGCAGTGAAACCCACTCTATAATCTCCAAAAGTCCCTCAACATAATCCAATCACTTTATAAATGCACATTTAAATATTACCAAAACAAAGCTTTTTTAATAAATCCTCACCTAAGGATATTTTTTTCCATTGCTTTTCAGAGAGAGAGTGAAAGGGGGAGAGAAGGAGAGGGGGAGAGAGAAAAACATCGATGTGAGAGAGACATTGATTGGTTGCCTCCCGCAGGTGCCCCAACTGGGGCTGGGGATCAAGCCTGTGACAGAGGTAGGTGCCCTTAGCTGGAATCGAACCCGGGACCCTTCAGTCCTCAGGCCAATGCTCTAACCACTGAGCCAAACTGGCTAGGGTCCAAAATACAGCTTTTGATCTTAGGAGTCTGACCTGGCAAAATGGACCTCTATGGGGTTAGAAATGAATGGGCTCAAACCTCTTAGGATAACAGGTGCATTTGATAAATCCTCTTTAACCACCCCATTAATCATCACTGAGACTTAGGAGTAGGCCTGAAAGTACCCAGTGTGAGTCTAACTTGAGTTCCCGAGATATTCACAGAAGCACAATGGACACCAACTGAACCAGGAGGAACAAGTATGCATCTGAGTTGCCTGACAACGTCGACACCATATATCAGGTTGTTCAAGGAATACTAAAGCCTAGCTACTCCAAGTATGGTCAATGGACAGGCAATATGGGCACCACCTAGGAGCTGGTTAAAAACTGAATTTTCAAGCCCACCCCTGACCTAACAATCAGAATTTACACTTTACCATGGTTCATAAGTGATCCCTAGACACATTAACGTTTGAGAAGCAAGCTGAACTAAAGGATGTCTTAACACACAGGGAAACTCTGGTATGTTACCCTTAAAAGCACTTAGCCAAACATCTGGACCCCCTCACCTTCCTGGAAAAAAAAGCCCTCGAATTCTGAACTATTACTGTTATCCTATATAACAACTGAACGCTAAACTAAGGAGGGTCAAAGGTTACGAAGCCTCTCATCTGGCCAATGTGTTGTTTTTTTGACCTTGTAGTAAACTTCCCACATTTATAAAAGTTTTCACAAAATTCACTTATAAAAATCACTGAGAGTTTCCTTTTACTGCTTCTAAACTTTCTAGCCTGTGAACTTGAAGTGGCAGAAATATTAGTAAATGCTTTACTTATTCCAATTGTTTGATCTCAGTAAGTTGATCAAGAATAGGTGGACTCCAATACTATTCCACTTGTGGGACTAACAGACCATTTATTATGGTATTCAGAACTCAGGATTGTTTCAAGCTTTCTTCACAAGAAAAAAGGCTTAGTTTGTCTCAAGTCTCACATAAAATTATTAGTGCTGAGTAACCCATATATATGAAAGCACGACCCTAACTTTGCCTAAACACAATCCTAAAACTGCCATTAACTAAATCCTCTTGAATGGAGTGGAGAGTAAACCTATTTCCAACTAAATTTGGTAGAGAAGACCATTAAATCTAAGCTCCATGGCCATTAACCTAAAAAATGCTTTCCTTAACCATTTTAGATACATTTATCTAAGTATGACAGAATTTTGAGGTTGGACTATCAAAAATGGGCAACACTGAGCTTCTTAATCTTTACTGTAGACATACATATGTTCTACTCTAAGAGAGACCAATAATAACTTCCAGTCATCCTCAGATCAGCCTGTGAAAATGATTCGAGTCTCCCTGCCAGCACTCTATAAGTGGACTACCAGTCAGAACTTCATTCAAAAAGTTCTGGCAGAGTTGAAATCACGTAAGCTTATAAAAGTAGTTCGAATCAGTTTCCCTTCATTTAATAAGCTTTCCTTTTACTTAAATTCAGAATTAGATTCAGAATTCACCTGTCAACATCTTCGATAATGAGTTTAAGTTGTGAAACACTACTCAAACACTCTCAGGTTTGAGAGGAACATTAGGGAACACCAAACCTGAAGGAAGAAGTAAAATGCTTTCTATCATCAGCTCACAGTTATGCCAAGACAGACTGTGTTAAGACAGCAATTAACCAAGAACTCTTTTACACCTGAAAACACTTTTTTCTCTCTCCAGAGAGGTTTGGTTTTTTAAATGGTAAAAATGAATATTACTCTGACAGCATTAGATAGTTTATCAAGTAGGTTAAGAATAGTGGCAACTGTACACAAACAAGGCCTGACTTTAAAATATTAACCAACTGGTATCCTGGGAAGCTAGGCATAATAACCACCTTAGAGTCCTTGACTGGTCCTATACTAAGGAAACACAGATATGGATCCAACTAGGACATAATCCTTCCTGTCAACAGTCCCAAGCACATTTTATATACCCCAGCCTACTGCATTTCAGTGAGCCAGAAATGAATTCATAGCTCAATGAGTCCTGTCAACCTCTTCAGAAACATTCAGTAGCCAACTAGATACTGACAGAAGCAATAGCTTCAATAAATATACGACACTGAGGTGATTTGCACCCTTCTGGAAAAAGCAGATATTTAGACGACACTGAGGTGATTTGCACCCTTCTGGAAAAAGCAGGTATTTAGACGAGCCGTTTTAAATCACAAGTTTTCAGCTAGGGGAAATATAACTGAAGCCTTACTTTTGTGGGTCCATATCCAATTTGTGACAGGAAATAAAAAAAAATTAAAAATCTGGTTATCCCAGCCAAGCACCTAGAAGGCACCCAAGAGCATTCCTTTGGGTTGCCTCTTAAGGAAACATCAAAACACAGGACACTAGTTTTGTGAAGCATCAAGAACTGGAATCCTTACTCTATAGCATGTAAGTGAACAACACACCAGGTATTACAGAATCTGTGTGCCAACATACACAGACCCACAAATTCCTATGGGATCTGAGCCAATATTCCCTTCACCTGAAAGCTACTTAGAAGCAAATTCCAGTGCAAACCCTGGGTATTCCCTTTCAGAAAAAAGGTTCAAAGCAATGCTTCATGACCTCCAGTTAACATTTAGTCCACATAGTGAATCAGAATGAGGCTACCACTTCAGATAATACTAATAAAACACCTACACAATGTTTCCAACCTCCCCACCTTTACAAAGAAACACTTTCATTAGTAACAAAGCCTACTTTTGTATAGCGATGGGGGGATTTGGAGGCCAGCTGCTTCTTCAAGTCAAGGAAAGCATCTCCATTTTCTATTTCACCCACGCTTCTCCTATCCATGGCTCGTTGGTCTACAATTCTTTGCACCTGGAAGACAAATGAGCACAAAACTGTCACCAAGAACAACACATTTTCAGAAGTCTTGACTGTTTAAAAAACTGAAACTTTTCTCTCTTAAAATGACTACCATTAAAAAACAAACCTTCACCCAACAATTATGCTATAAACCAGAACCCAGTTGGAAACAGAACCACTGGTACTTAGCTATCTCTTCTAATAAGTCAGTCCTCTAAACATCAGAAGGGTAAGGAAAACAAGTGGAAGGTGCCCAAATCAGCCTTTAAGCAGCTTTACTACAAAAAGAAACCAAGATTAGTGGCTGCTACCCATGGGGACCGGTCAGGCAGTAGTGGGGAAGTTTCCCGGAGTGGGGGCAGGTAGGAGAGTGGCTGGGGCCGGAGAGACGGGAAGTCGAGCTGTAGTAAAGTGCCTGTCACTCGCCAATGGACGGCGCCAGCTGCCCCTTGTTATTCGGGGGCTAGGGACTGGGGGACGGAGCCCGAGCGCCCCTCGCCCAGCCAGCCGCACCTGTGGCCATGACAGGGGCGTCCGTAGTAAAGAACAGGCGAGCGCTGGCTTCAGCTCCAAAACTCGGCTTCCCCGGCCTCCACCCCAAACCCCGGCCTCTCGCTCAGGCCCCGGCCTTCTTCGGAGGAAGGGCGGGGACAGTACTCACGAGAGGAGGCGGGCCGGAGGGTACAGGGCGACCGAATCCCCTGGCCCTGGCCCTC